TTCTGCTCACTATCCATTCCTCATTTTTACTGTGAGATTAAGTAAATGCCTTTCCTTTAATTCCTCCCTGAGATGAGGAGATGCATTTGGTGTTTCTGGCGAGATAATCAAGTGACTAATTGTAGAGCATCTGATTTCTGCCAATGGGGGCGTTTGATGCGCTGGCAGGGAGAAATCCTATTTTGCCGGGCTGATTTTTCCACGGAGGTTAAAGAGGAGATGGTTTGAAGAGAATGAACACAATTACAGAAAATGAGAGAGGGAAGACGTTTGTGTGTCACATTTCTTTGTTTGTTGACGATTCATGTTGGAAATCAGTCGGACAGAAAATGGAATTGTATTGACATTAGAGATAAAGGAGTCCAAGCTGCTTGTGTAGCCATTAGTGATCGTATTGTCTGTGCTGTGTGATTTGTGTGTGTGTTTTGAACTGATTAGGGGCATGTGTTAGCTTGTGTTGGAGTGTATTGTCTATGTGTATGTGTGACTGCACGTGTTCTTTCTCCTTCTCTGTCTCTGCTAAGTGTGTGGTAGTGTGTGTATGGCTGCTTTAGGTTTATACATGTTAAATGTCTCCTGTAGGTGTGTTTATGTGTGCACACATGCAGGAGCAGTGGTCCTATAATCCGTCTCTCTCTGTTTTTTGTGTGTTTTAGTCTAGAGAGTCTGTCAGGGAATATTGCTGTTATCAGATTCTACTTTACACTTTGTGTATATGTGTGTCTTTTTGGTGCATTTGTCTTAGCAAGCAAGTGGGGACGGTTTTATTATTTAAAAATATTCATCATTAATGATTTTGGAGCCTTGGAAGCATCTGGGTTTTTTTTTTTTTGCCTGTCTGCCGGTGAAGCAGTGAAAAGCAGAGATGGATAGACTCTATAGACAGTATATTTGGGTGGCTGTTGGACTCCTGCAAGTGCGGCGAATGACTCCACTGCACTGTGGAGCTCATGCTGAGGAAAGCAACAAAACAATATTACTCTTTCATGAAGCAAAAATAAACAAAACTCAGTAGACTCGAGCAATTTGGCTCAAAAGGATTAGCAATAATGGCTGAGGAAAGCACTGCTGTGAGTGCAAATTACCATAGCTTTTGTTTGTGCTCTTTACTTCACCCTCACTTGACATGGCGTAATTTGAGATGACTGGAACTTAATGGTGTAAAACAATGGCAGAAGGCTCTTAGGGAAGATTTTCAAAATGTTGATCCGTTCCCACATGGAAATAATGAAAAATAAGAGTAATGAAATAACAACCCTTGAGCAAAGCCAATTCTCCAGTTAGCTGACAGTGCAGAGGAGTGTGTATCATTGTGTGTGTTTTATCAGTGTGGATGTGTGTAAATGAGAGAAAGAGAGAGTGGCTGGTGTGTGTAGGCTACACATACTTAATCCCTGTTGACTTGCGTGGCCCTGCCATTTTGCTTTGGTTATGTCTCATCAGCAGGAACATTAAGCTTCTTTGAAGCACTTCTCTGTGTCTTTTTTTTTTTCATCCTTTAAAATAACATTATTAAACTCTCAAGAAGAAATCCCACAACTTTTAGTTTTCTTGTTTATCTACATTTTGAGCTCTTGGTGCTTCGCGGATGAGTTGTCTTTTTTTCCTCCTTCCTTTTTATGGATTAAAAGGATTAAGACACAGAAAGAGATGGAGAAAAGGGCAGAGAGAGAGAGAGAGAGGAGGAGGGAAGAAAGAGACATGAAGAGAAGTGGGAGAAATGGACCACACAATAAAATAGGGAATAAGAGACATTAGGGAATAAGGGAGATGGAGATGACTCGAAAAGGGATGCAGAAGGTGAAGGAGTTTAATAAAACAGCCAGTTATGTGCAGAGTTTATGATGTGTTCCCTATCTGTTTGTGCAGGGCCAGCCCTGAGCGATAGAAGCAGTTACTAAGGGACCCCTGGTCTCTTGTTTTTTTTAATAAACAAGAAAATAAAAATTCAACCTATTAAATGAAAACTGTCAACATTTGTGCCATTTTTGCCAACAAATAGTGGTCCATGTGATGTTAATGTTGTCATCCATCCATGTCCACGAGGGTCAGCACGGACCCCTGTGAGATGTGAAGCCCATTTTTTGTGACTCCGCCACTGTATATAGTAAGCAAACTGACTGCACATGCTCCAGTCTCTTGCTCCACACTCCAGTCCTGTCCAAAACACTGCCCTCAAGCCAACCACAGCTGCCTTGCCACCATAAAGTTAGTTTTAGCAGCAGACCTTCAATGCATAAAGTCTGTCCGAGCCATAAGTAAATAATTTACTGTACCCTACAAAACAAGCACTCCCAGGATTCTGTGGTTAAAAAAATGATGTAGTAGTGATGTAGTAATGATGAAGTAAAATAAATTATATTTGGATCTCAGTTTAAGAGGACAATTCATTGGGTTTGGGGGTAATGGACAAAAATTGTTTTTATTGTAATCTATTTAAAGGTAGTGTTGCTGCTGATCGCTCCCACTTTAGTCCTCACAAGCTCATTTGTACATAACGTCTGCTGGAACTATACAATACACAAGTTGGTTCAGTGCCATCTGAAGCAGCAGCACATTATAGTGAGAGCAGCTCCCAAACTGTGTCCCGCTTTGGGCCCCCATAAGCCTAGGGCCATCCTTGTCTCTGTGTTTGTTTGTGCATGTATGATGCAAACACACAGAAGGTGAGAGGTCAGTGGTTTGTGTGACATGATGCTTGACAGTGTCAAGGAGTTTTAGGGGAACTTCAATTATTTGAGGCCCATAATGAATCTCTATTGTGGTGGAGAATTACAATTTAGCATTCCTAATCAAAATTCCACTGTCATGGGCTACAGCTAATGAGCAAATCCTGATAACTCTGACAATTAGTCACAGAGCGAGGCATCAATCGACATATACATCATGATATATCACAACCCTTCCATCTCTCTCCCTCTTTAATTTCCTTTCCTATCGAAACCACGTGTCTTGACAATGATGTGACAGGGTGCAGGTCTTGAAATAGGGGGGTTGGGTGCACCAGCAGCAAATTGTGAGCATTGAATGCTTAATTTCCTGCATTTTGGTTATTTTTTATGCGCCATATTGTGACTTTTCTGCATCGATTTATGGTGTAAATGTCTTTAATCTTGTCTACTACTTTCATGTTTTTATTGGATGGGACAAATACACATGTTGTAAATGTTGAAGGGTACATGTCCCCCGATGTCACTCCCAAAATCTACACATATGATGATGGGTGAGTTAGATCTGCTACCAACATCGCTGTGGAGTTTTGCATTTATAATGTTGATCACCACTCAAAGGCACAGATTTTGGTAAAATGGGTCAGACTTCCTTTGTGTGTCTTTGGATTTGTGTGTGTGTGAGAGAGAGTGTGTGATGGGGATGAGGATAGCAGCAAGCCCATAGCGAAGCAGTGCCACATCCAAAAAAGCAATAATAAACAGTAATCTCCTTAGCCGTCACAATTATTAATGTCCCTCCACGTATGTAAACAAGGCTTCAGGCTGTATTTAGATTTCCCATGTGACACACACTCTCTACCAAACTCTGGCCCACTGTAATCCTCTTTATTGTCAAATACAGTTGATGTGGGACACCAGGACACCGCTAGGTGTTTTTGTCTGATATTTGTAGACTAGTTTGCCTCAAACTTTTTATTGTCTGTCAGTGCATATGTGCATGTTGCGTTAAAGTTTGCAGTTTGGGGATGGTTTATGGTTCTGCTGCAGTGTGTGTGTGAACCCCCCTCCATCCTTGCTCTCCATGCCTGCCAACCATCCTATTGTGACAGAACAGGTGCAGATGAATATGAAACAGTTCGGCAGAGCTTTTAAGGTCCGGCCCTTTGTATGCACGCTTATGTCCGAAGCACCATGTAAGAGTAAACCCGCTCCCAATTTCCACTTCTACCACCTTCTTCTCAGTGTCTGGTCCAGATGTCAAATCTGTGTCACAGCAGAGACACACACATTTATGTTCTAAACGAGCAGACAAGGTCATGTGAGATGCAGATTCATGTGAGATGCAGATGCAAGAGCAGTTTTGTTGCTCTTTAAGTCTTTCCGAGAGGAAATGGGCTGCCGGATGAGTCAGGCACTAAGACTCAGACAAAGGACTACCTGGTCGACCTTTTCTAAAATGCAATCACCCCTCTGAGTTCTTACACACACTCACCAATCTCACCCCAGTGTGACACATTCCCCATGCTGAACCAGAAATGGCTCTGATTCAACTTTGTCTCATCACTTTGAAAATATTGTGAGGGGTACTGTAGATAGATAGATAGATAGATAGATAGATAGATATGGTGTCTCTCTCTTTACAGTACCACACATCCACATTTCCCTGTCTGGTGACGTGCCTCCAGCGCCCTCCTTCCCCTCTCCTGGTCTGCAATCCTCTTTCTCTCCTCTCTCCCCACTCTCTGTCACACACACACAAAACCCAGGGCGAAGATGGGAAGCTGTTCACGACCCGGTGTGCTGCTGTGTTTTGTCCTTCATTAATCTCTCCTTTCGTCTCATTTTTAGCCATACTGGATCGATACTCCCATAAGGGCAGACCTTCGGTAGCTTCTATCTGACACGTATCGACCCTTTACTGGATAAAATAACAAGCGAGGGGCTGGAAAAGCGGGGGATCCGACTTGCCCTTCCTCTGCGCCCCTGTGCGCACAAGCAAAAGGAGATCTTGTTGAAGCCTGCTGCGCAAGCCTGCTCCCCAAGACGCGCAAGAGGACGTGAATGCGCACCGGCGATCGCCGCTGAACTTCGCCACCTCTGACAGACCCTTGAGTCATTTGGATATCGCTACAGAATAGCCCGTCGCAATCTGTGCTTAAACACACGCGTGGCAGGACGATTTTGGATTTAAACGCCAACAAGTGGAATTGGAAATGGGCTCTTTCACCGGGACCCTGGTCTGCGCTGACACGTGGATTTGATCAGTTTAATGTTGCGGGAGACGCGGCGTTCATATCACACTACATATGGTCAGTGGGTGCAGGTTTGAAGCCACCGACCCGCCGCTTCTCCACAGCGCGTCCTCGGAGCGGAGCGGACAGAGCTGGGGACGCTGAGGAATGCGGAGCCGGGATTTTGTCTTTTCCAGCTCACCTGCGGAACTCTTCGCAGCGCAAACCAAAGTAAGTAATTTCCTCACAAGGTCCTGTGGTCTTTCGAGGAATCTGTACTTAACAGTGATTCCAGCTTACTTTATATTGTTTTAAATATCACTTATGGCATCACTGTGACTCTATTTATACATACAGTGCAGATTATCTTTGTCACTGGATGTTTATCAGTGACCTTGTCAGATATGGAGGTATTTTGTCTGCAATGGGATGGCTGGTTTTTGTTATCCTCCTATCCTAACAGGCTGTTCCCAAATTTGTCACACATTCTTTGTTGGTACATCAGAGATAGGACAGACTGTACAAACACGGGGTCAGTAGGCTACATAAGATTCTCCTTGTCTTTACATCTTCCAGCCGACCGACGCAGCCGGTGAGCACGCGTGGCGCCATGCTGAGACAGATCCTCCTCAACTCCACCGACACCCCAGACTTCGACCTGGTGCTCATGGCCCAGTCCTCGACACACGCCCCCTCCTCCCTGAACGCCTCCCACGGCGGTTCGGTGAGCGTGGCCGCTCTACTGAGACCCACCACGGGGCGAGGGGGAGGAGGGCTCCGGGAGGGCGAGCTCCACAAACCGGACCTGATCACCTACATAGTCATGTGCCTACTGCTCTTCTTATTGGTGCTACTCATTGTGTTCTTCATCAACTGCCAGCTCCGGAACTCTTTCTTCGCCTCCATGCCATATGACAGGTCGCTGAGAGAGGCCCGGACCTCCTACAAGTAGGCTAGACCCCCAGGACAAATCTCTGGGACTCTGGGTCTTTAGTGACTCTTGTGGGGATTTAAAGGGACGGTTCACGCCAAAATAAAAAATACATATTTTTCCTCTTACCTGTAGTGCTATTTATCAGTCTATTCTGTTTTGGTGTGACTTGCCAGTGTTGGAGATATCAGCTCTAGAGATGTCTTCCTCCTCTTGGATATAATAGAACTAGATGGCACTCGGCTTGTGGTGCTCAAAGCAACAAAAAAATATACTTGGAAAAACTCAACAGCAATGTCTCATACCAGAAATCATGACCTGGCTACTCAAGATAATCCACAGACCTCGGTGTGAGCAGTTTCATACAGGAACTATTTTATTTCTAACTGACTACACTTGCTAACTGTATCACTGCGCAGATGGAAGTGTGCATCTACTCATGGACAAGAAGCTTGTGCTTGTGACAGCCTGAGATGTAATCAATAATGGTGTCCTTTTCAGCCTGGCTGTAACATTAGGTAGCTCAGTGGTCCTATGAGCTCACAGTAGCACGCTTGACGGTTGACGGGTGTAGTTTGGTAGACAGAAAATAGTACATGAAAAAAATGACTACACCTGTCAACCATCAAGCGTGCTACTGCCAGCTCAGCTAGGACTACTGAGCTAGCTAGTGTAACATCTCAGCCAAGGACGCCATTATTGATTACATCTCAGGCTGTCAATAGCACAAGCCTCTTGTCTATGAGTAAATGCACATTTCCATTTGTGCAGTGATACTTTTGGCAGGTGTAGTTAGTTAGAAAGAAAATAGTTCCTATTTGAAACTGCTCACACCGAGGTCTGTGAATTATCTCGAGTAACCAGGTCATGATTTTTGGAAAGAGACATTGCTGTTGAGTTTTTCAAGTGTATTTTTAGTGCTTTGAGCACAACAAGCCGAGTGCCCTCTAGTTCCATTATATCCAAGAGAAGGCAGACATCACCACAACCCATATCTCCAACACTCAGCAGCTCACTCTTAAACAATCTAGACTGATAAAAAAGCACTACAGGTAAGAGCAAAAATATGTCTTTTTGATTTGGTGTGAACTGTCCCTTTAAGGACTAACTGGTCACCCCTGAACTGCTGCTGCACGCACTGGACTCACAAAGCTGTTGCCTTGGACACATTGGAAGGCCTAAAAAACCTAGAATCCCCACGCCTAACATGAGTAGTCAGGGCCCCGATTAGACCAAATGTTGCCCACACGTTTCACTCTAAGGCCCACAGCCCCATCCCCCCAAAATAGCACTTCAGACCATGGGGTACCATTAAGAAGATGAATGGTATGTATGGGCCCACTGCAGGTGGAAAACAGATAACCGTATAACTCCTGGTCAATTTGGTGACTCATGTATTTTCTGGTAATGAATGAATAAAATGTGAAGCCATCCATCATCCCCTGCAACCCCCATGTGGTCCCCATGCTGCACTTTGGAAACAAATTGTTCATTCCTTTACAGTATACTCCCGAGCTTGTACTAATTCATCTAACTGCTTACAAATTTGACCTGGAGCCTGCAGTTTAGGTTCACAAATTCACAGTATTCAACACTGGCCCTGACAAGATTAATCTGTTTTATTCTCATGGAAATGTGACTTATGGTAACATAGAAAGAGTCTACAGTAGATTGTATATAAAATATTTTGTATGACTGTAACTTAACTGTCTTGTCTTGTGAACTGATGCAATCAACACACACTTTCCATCCTTTTGTCCATTGTAAAAATGCTGATTAAATTACAAACCGTAGGCCTATATCGTCACATAAAGATATTCAAATGTACTTTGAAGTGGCAGTCTCTTCGTCTATGCATCTGTTTATGAATGGCTGAAGGTGATGCTGCAGCTGCTGGGTGTGAGGGGCCGACTGTTAATCATTTCATACGTCCGTGGAGGTGTTTTCACGAGTGCCATAGGGCTGCTAGCCTTATCGTGCACTTTCACTTTTAATTAACCTCTCCCCCTGCAATTTATAGCGCCGGAGAATGAAGACTTGAGGCTGAAGTTTATGACGAGACCTGCGCGATAAACCACACTATTGTCGGTTTCAGTGCCACCGGTGATGCGCAAATCCTCTCCAATCTTGTTGTTAGAAAACATCTCTCACATACCAAGACAGCTAGATGAGCCTATCTCTGTAATCCTGTGCCCGTGTGTGTGTATGTGTGGTCTGTGTACGTCACAGAGGTAAGAGAAACACTGCATTCCAAGTGTTGGGCATTATACAAAAACGCAGTAATTATTGCCGTGCGTAATCATAATCTTATTTGAATCTGAGAAGCACTGATATAATGCATTGCAAGCAGGGGGGCAGAAGGCCACCTCTCTGTGGTGCTGAGCTTAAAATGACCGACCAACTAGCCTACATGCTTTTTTTTGGGAAGACAATCAGCTAAGAATTGGGTCGATTTAGTCAGCATATTCAGAACAATACGTGCCTTCCTGGGTCAATCATTTGCTGCAGTTGTCTCTAATGTTCCTCCACTCAGTGCAAATTGCATCTGTGAATGCAAAGAAATCATTTTAGAGAACAATATAAAATAGGCTACTGCACCTCAATCGCTTCCAAGGGGCACATTAACTTTGCTGTACATGCTGTGTTAGCACTGGTGACACTGCAGCGCCTGTCACCACTTGGTGGCGCCCCAAGTCCGATTATTTGTTTGCACAATATGTTTACAGTACAAAATGGCAAAGTGCCAAAGCCACACATGTTGAAACTTCACCTTTACAACACCTGACTGAAATGAAGCAACACCTCCTGGTATTGTTAGATCCATAAGTAGAGAAAGGATACTAATGGTGACCTTCATTATAAACTAATAATCACTGTAACATTCGCGCCAGTGAGATCTTGCTCAGCTACATCAGCTGAATTCCTTTGCAGATAGCTGAGATAAGATTAATTGCCTGTGTGATATTGAGGTGAGGGCAATCTTAGATGTCTGAATAGAGGTTTTCCGGTTAATCTTACATCTGAACTTAAGAGTCAAGGAGACACACATTTGTGTCACTGAGAGAGAGATGACTTTTGTAATGTGGTAAGGTTACAGCAGATACACTGGCGAGGGCTGAAGGAGAGATCACACTCCATGGGTCTTTAACTACAGGCAATACATTCTCTCTTATAGAGATATAGCTCTATGTGACATGAATAAAATAACAGGGAGAAATAGAATATATTCTTCAATTTGCCTGATGAAACCCTGCCTCTCTCAAACTGATTTATTGGAGAACTGTAAAACTACCTGACTATTTCCAGTATGAACTACTGGTTTAAGTTCTGTGGAATGCCAGAGGTTACTGCTGAACTCAAACATCTGTGATTTAAGTTGTTACCTTGATAACTCCACAGTACAGTGGTACCCATGAATGGATTATGAGACAATGGGCCCTTGGGCAGAGATATGCACAAGGCCCTATCACCATACAAGCAAGACACACAGACTGTGTGATGGTTTTGCCTCTTTTTTTTTTTTTTTTTTTTTTTTTACTGTTCTTTTATCGTTGTAGTCTTTATGCATAATTTGTGGTTCTGTGTCTCTTTGGTAATTTTGTTTCATTTTTTGATTGTTTGTGTCTCTTTGTAGTCATTTTGTGTCTCTGTGTGGTAATTTTGTCTCTTTTTTTGGTAATATTGTATTTCTTTGTGAGGCAAAACAAGACAGATTTATTTTTATAGCATTTTTCATACACAGGGCAATTCAAAGTGCTTCGCAGAGCAATGAAATATAAAACATAATAAAGGAAACAGATTTACAGAATAAGATTACAGAGAAAAGAAAAATAATTACTAAATTATTTACAATTAAACAACACAATAACAAAAAGCAGACAAGTGGAGCAAAGATGAAAACATTTTTTTTTAAATCGAGTTTAAAAATAAGTTTGCAGTCATTACAGGATGAAGTCAGTCTAAAGAAAGGAATGTTTTTAGCTCTGACTTAAAAATGGTTATTCCAGGTTTGTGCTGCATGATAACAAAACGTTGCTTCACCATGTTTTGTTCTAACTTTTGGGGCGGTCAGTAGGCTGGCCCTAGATGCCCTAAGGGTCCTATAGGTTCATATGTCACAAGCATGTCAAAGATATATTTGGGCGCTGAGCCACAGAGTAATTTATACATAAGCAGCAATTTTTTTTAAAATCAATTCTGAGTGACAGGTAGCCAGTATAAGGATTTTAGAACTGGAGTAATGTTGTCATATCTCCTAGTTTTTGTCAGGACCCTAGCAGCCTCATTCTGAATAAGTTAAAGAGTATGTCTATAGTAATTCTGTGTCTTTGTGGGCATTTTGAGTCTCTTCCTGGTCACTACCTTTTAATTTAAGTGACACTTTGCAGGTGAAGGCCAGTGGAGGCCCTTACGCTTTGGGCCCCTGGATGTGTACCCAGTAGGCGCATTCAGTAATCCATCCATGGTGGTACCTACCAGTAGCTGTCAAACTTGGAAACAAGCTGTTTTAATATTCAGGTAACTGGCCTGTGCTGCCTGCTGGTGGTGGGTTAATCTACTACATTGCTCATTTGACTTTTGAATTGACCGTGGGTGTGTTTTATTCTTGGATTTTAGATTGTAGATTAAGACACATTACATTGTTACATCATTTCCTGTGCAGCTCTAAACATAGGTCATGAATGGTGATGCCATGGAAACACAAATTGGACAACTTCTACAGCATAACTGGGCAGTTAGGTTATATTTCATTAAAATATATTACACTTATTTGTTTGATTCCTGGTCCCACAGCTCTGTGCAGTCATGGAAAAACTGCCAGCTAAATCCTCTCAGGCTCTCAGGTGTAGCTGCAGAGCGCAGGCTCCTCCCCAACCAGCTCTGACCGGACTGTCAGAAGAACAGGAAGACTTCTCCAGCGCTAGAGACGTTAGTCGCTTCCCCCGTCATTCAGGGGTTAAAAAGTTAACCAAACTTGTAAGCAGTCATGGAAACTAATTTGGGATACACGGTCGGGCCAAGTCATCCGTAATACCAACTCGTCGCCCGTGTTGTAGTCGCATTAACAACTCGTGGAAGTGGGAAGAGCGGAGTTTTTTTCTTTCCTGAGACTTTACCTACTGTAGTCAGACGAGCTAGCCTAGCAAGCTAACGGTTAGCTTAGTTAGTACCGCATACTTTCGGGACTTGAAATACACATTGTTTAAATCTTCGGCTTGTGTTACATGTGGATGCTGGTGGAATAAGTCCTCATTTGTGTTTTACAAACGCAACAGGTTGGTTTTGTACTTTTCGACCCGAGGAGTTGGGGCTGTGCTTTGAATTTCCCTCCTTCAGTGATACAGACAGGCGGCTTAGCTAGGGGCTCGTTCGGTGTAACAGTTGGCTCTCTACCAAATCATTAGCACCATTGTGCTAATTGTTGCTAAGTTAGCCAGGGCACTAGCATAGGCCCAAGGGAATTAACTGTTTGCTTTTTCGCAAAGTCAGGAAACACCGACGGGAGAAACATTTGCTTTGTTTTTTCACGTTTGAGTACGGGGAGATTAAAGACACACGGGTTTATTTTGACACCCAATTCAAGGGAACGGATTACGCTATAAATATGGATCCAAACACGGGGAACTCTGCCTCAGCTGCTGGTCCCAAGAAGGACAAGAAATCAAAGAAGAGCATTGAGGATGGAGATGGGAAAAAGAAATTTGTGAGTATCCCACAGGTTGAACTAGATATTTATGATCTTGCCCCTAACTTCACAGATTCCTCTGTTTCAAGTGATGCTACAAAGCAACAAACTCATCCTACCTGCATTTACTGTGATCCAATGTTGTGCAGCTGTCAACAGAGCTTGAAATGTTTGGATTTATGATTTAGGTCAAAGTAAGAGTCAGCATATGAGGAAATAGGTGGCTCTCCAACTTTGAAGACTTGTACTGTGCAATAAACCTTAAGTAATGCAGTCCTCACAAATTGCAACATGTCAACAAATGACTCACAGGTTTTTTATTTTCCAACAACATTTATAAAACTATAAAGACATCCAGTTATACAGTAACACTCACACTTGATTGTAATGTGTACAAAGAAGACTGCCTGTATTTTAAACACTATACTAGAATTGTGTCAAATGAATGACCTAACTTTTTATGGTAAGGTGTGGCATTGGCACGTTGAGTTTTCTCAAGGTGACTTAATTTTGATGACATCATGTGGTGTCTACCTGGCTGTGTCTGCTGTAGCATGTATGAGTCAGTGTGGTGTCCTGATGGGAGCAGAGCCGTAAGAGTCACCACTAGTTATGCCTGTCATCAGCCAGTACAAACTGTTGCGTAACATAACCCCTTGGCCCTGTCTAGCAGCAGGTGAAAACTGATATTGTACACACTGACAAACGGTAACCATAGAGGATGCACAGAAGAGAAGACACATCTGGTCACTAAGTAAACACTTCGAATACACACACAAACACACTTATTGTCACAGAGTTTTCAGGTCCTCTATTGGTCCCCTCTTGTTTAACCAGCAAGATGATTTATATCCCGCTGAACACAAACTGTTTCTTACAACACACATTTACATACTGAACACTTTGTTCAGGAATTTTGTGAGGAATTCTTTCATGTAGATAGTACCACCAGGGCATGAACCCAGTGGCATGTATGCCAAGTAGTAGCAGTAGGAGGTTGTAGGTGGGTCTTTGTTACCAGCACGGTTTAGATGGCAGGACACAGTCAGTGGAGTAGAGTGGTAGTAGTAGTATAAAAGCTGTCCTTGCTGTACTATAAATGGCTCTTTCAGCCTTTGAAAACATATTCTTGAATGTTGTCATTGATTTATTGATACATATTGATTCTGAATATTTGAAACTGTTTTTCTGAACACTCATTTACCACAGTATCGATACACCAAAACCAGCTAGGTTTTCTTGCTCTCTCTTTGGTAATGTTTATTACAGTAATTCTGCTGTTCTCTGCTACTAACCAAGAAAAGAAAAGCTGTTGCTGTAGTTAGCATTTAATAAAACATTTAAATTTATGCCCTCAATATCAGTTTTCCCAGTGGAATCTAAAACAACATTGGATCGAATTGAAGTATTGTATCAAAGTAAGAAATTTTAAGTGAAGTGACATCACTAGTAGGTCTCCTTTGTCACTGGCATGATTTTAATGACATGACACAATATGGCTGCACAATATGAAAAAAAATCTTACTGTGATCATGTTGACAGATACTGTGATTGCGATATCTTGCATTTAATTTTCACAGAAATAAATGATTTCAAAAAAATGAAAAAAATGGTGATTTTTGCTTTGGTCGCTACCAAACAAGCATTTACCCTTACGTCTGGAATATGAATTGTAGGCCGTGGCATCTCTGCAGCACCACAATGCTTCATTTATAATGGATTTTTGTGACAAATTTTGCCACATCAAAAAATTGCAGCTCCTGTGATTTGGATATTGCACTTGATTGCGATTTCGGTAGTGTTTGGAATAAGTGTGAAGCCCTAAGACACAGTCAGCTGTCCATGTTGTATTATAAAGGTATGCTCTTGTTTTTTTAGCTTTTGAAAACAGATAGAAGTGGATGAAAATGAGGGAAGTATTTGGTAAATGGCATATTTTTGCAGTACAGCTATTGTACACAGGTTTAGGTAGGGCTATAAGCAAATATTAGTCACAGACAGAAATCAATTGTGCAATGTCCTTAGATAACACTGCATACACAAGTTTGTGTTGGAGCGTCATTCAACCAGATGGTGTGAGTGCATGCCTGTGTGTGCGGCCAGACTGCCCACCTTAGACAGAGCTGTGCCCTTGACTTCAGTTCACTGCTAACTCTGAAATTCGAACCCATTCTGGCAGGATTTTTATTACACCACAGGCAGGGTTCAGAAAGAGGTTAAGTGGTGTAGAATTATTTGTGATGTACTTGTTCGACAGTGTGACATTGCCTCTCTCAAGTCTCAACTACCTTGTCTGTGGTATTAACGTTTCTTGTCTGTGGCATTAAATCATCTATGACTTCATCACTCTGCTTTTGCTTCTTCTCAGACATACCAGTGATAATAACAAGATGAGATATACGACTACGATCTGTGTATTGTCTCCAGCCAGCCTTGTATTCGGTCTACCAAGCCAGAGTCATTCTTGTGTGAAAGTCTCTCAGTTGGGCTGTCTGGGACTGAATGAAGCAGTGTGGGTGGGTTATTCAGTTTAAGTCATCATTTGTTTTTCTAGACATGTTCACTATTTTTGGACGACTCTGAGATGGGATTGTTGATTTTTTTTTTTTCTACAGTGTGTTGTTGGAATAATGCCAAGGACATCAACTAGGTTTTGCATTAAGAACAATACTATTGTTGTTTGCAGCATGAAGATTTTAGGATAGATGGACATTTTTGTACTTTTGTTTTCAATCACCAAATACATGGCTTTAGGTTCAGCTGCCCAATCACCATTCAGCGCATGAAATGTTGCTTAACCCCAACATCAACCCCTGTAATGTTTACTACAGTTCTACCCCACAAAACCATACTTTATTGATGTAATGCTCCCCTGCAGTGTGTAAGCATGCCTGTAAGCTTGCCCTGAGCACATGTGAGTCCTTGTGTATGTGTGTCCCAATTCACACACTGTTTTTGTTTGTTTGACACATGTAACCTTCACAGGAATGCCTAACAGGATTCGCTGTGCTTACAGGTACCCCTGCAACTGAGCATGATCCATGTATTTTGTTTAGAGCCAAAAGCAGGTCATTTTAGCCGTGCTCCCAGAAGCGCTATCTGTGTTCTTCAGGCCCAGAGAGAAAGGATCAGCATCCACGAATGCTGTTGACATAAACAGGCTGGCTCAACCCAGCAGGCAGCCACAGTGTGGATTAGCCAGGGATCACTGCCCTGGACAGTTGTTTGGGATACAAGGTGAGGTGTAGATCACAGATTTAGGCTCTGGGACATCTTGTTGAGCTTGGCAGGTTAGCTTTTTTTTTTTTCCTAGGTGAAAGGTTTGCTGAATTCTCTCAAGCACAAGTCGACTTTTTATCAGGTCCTGATAGTGTTGTCAGAATACTGGGCTTTTAAACTTTGATACAATACCTTGAAAAATATTCATATTTAATACCATTTTCAGTACCACTGGGACAAATTGACATTGAAGGCATAAAATTAACTTTTTTTGAAAGATGAATATAACAAAGCTGTAGCATGACATCATTGGCTTTTCTTTTCTTTTCTTGGTTAGTAGCGGAGAACAGTACAGTGACTGCAGAAAACATTAACAGTAAGAGAGAGCGAGAAACTACAGCTGGTACTGGTGTATTGATGGAGAATGAGCGTTGAAAACCATTTCAAATAATCACAATCAATATGTGATGATACATTGATACTTAGGCATGTTGTAAACATGTTTCTTTTTGGCCTTTTGGGGCATTTCTCACAGAGCTTCACTGATACCATGGGTTACACTTTGAGCCAGAATTATAATCAGAGATTTGAGGTTGTGTCAGAGGATGGTTTGCATTACCTAAGATCGCAGTCCAGTTGGAAAAAAATGCTGCCAATTATGACAGTATGTCATTTGTAACTTCTTGTATAACTTAAAGCATTAAAACAAACAAGCATGCAGGAGCACCCACCAGCTCACCTGGCAGAGCGGGCACCCCATGTATCTAGGCTGTGTCCTTGCCCCAGCAGCCATGGGGTCAACTCCCCTCTTTGTGCACCCATTTCACACTAGACTTTCCAGCCTAATAAAAGGCAAAAATGCCAAAAATAATCTTTAGAATACAGACATGCAGATGCAAATTAAACTTTTTCCGGGAACTGGAAGAAAACCAGTTGTAGCTGATGTCAAACAGAAAACCCTGAAGCAAGTTGCAAAGCAGCGCATACTTTTCTCTATAGTTGAATATTCACAGAGTTGGAAAATATGCGACTTGCTCATGCATGCGACCTGAACCTACCAGATGGATTACTTCTGTCATGTTAAGTGATTAAAGATTAAATTAAAGTCATCTGACTTTTCTGTGACAGTAATGATGTGTATATTGTGAATGCAGACTTGAATGCATTAAGAATTGCTTTATAATTGGATTGTAGCACCCTGAATCTAAATCAAATTGTCAAGTGCATACCGATTCCCGGATGAGTGTCTTGACACAAAACCTATCACGTTATATTGCGGTATTGATCATTTGCTCCACAGTTCAACTGAAGCAATGCATTTGCGTTGCAGCTTCTGAGGAAAACCACAACACACTCAAGCAATATCAGTCACGACAAGAACAACCAAAAAAACTCAAATTATGAGGCAGTTTTTTCTCTCTGTGTTTGTCTGACTTATATGCAGCCTTGTATCTGGGGATGGTGCCCAAGTCGTTGCCAGTGGGCACGTGTTTAGGTGTTGAGCGCAGGTTAAAGTGTTGGTGTTTATCATGATTAATAGCAAGGATAAGTGCGCCTTCCTTCAAGCATAAAATGTCGTGCCTGCATGTGCCTTTGTGCAGCAGTGCACCTACTTCCTGGGGGAACCACCTCAGCAAATGCTTAATTTAAGGCCATGAATTAAGCCAGTCAGGTCACAACTCTTCAGTCACAGTCTGACTCAAGAAGTCTGAGTCAAGTAGAGAAGTTAAAAATTTGCTTTGGTGCACAGTTGGTCTCTTTTGCCCTCTTTTCTTCTTATGTGTGTCTGCACTAGTCCT